GTGCATGGTGATTATCATCACCTACTGATTTGTGAATAATGGAGTCATCTTATAAGTATGTCAACCATAATCTCAAAACTTGCACAGGCTGTGGTGCTTCCGTCTGCATTTGCACCTGTCCACACCATGTTCATGCATTTATCCTGTTTTATGCAGCTGTCCTTGAGATCCAAATGTGTTAGCAGTGTAACTAGATTAATGCTGGTCAATGGATGTTCAAGTCCATACTATGGCACCACACCACAAACACAGCCCAACCTCACATTCGGCCTCTTGGAACACAATTTCTGAACCTTGATTAGCCAGATTTTTCAGACTCAATCTATCAACAGAGTTCACCCACTCTATCATGATCTCAATGGCCAACACTACAGCATGTGCAAATAGGGTACAGGCATCATTTAACTTTGTTCTGAACCTGGCAAAGTGAGGTAGGAGGAATTACAAGGTTATTTGCAACATTATTCCTAACAGTTGTTGTGATTCTATTATTCAAACATGCAACATCATGACAAAGAGAGAGAAACGAACCTGAACAAGTATTTAGTACAAAGGCTGGGAAAGATGACATACTAACATACACAGTGAGTGTTTACAGTGTTGTGAGGAAAACTGACATGTTGTGTCTCAGGGAATGTGATGGAGTGTCAAACACCACTCTCGTTTACCAGCTTGATACAGTAAACAACTGAGTTACACATTGCTTGTGGGGTTGCATGAATGCACACAACAATCACCACTGGTCAAGTGACTTAAATAGAATGGTGTCTTGGTTGACACACTCTCTGGTTGTATTGAATGAGTACAAGATCATATCCGCTGTAATACCTGTACAAACACACATAAAAGTGTTGTTTCCTCCATAAAAACCATAGAGGCTGTTTCTTCCATGAATGCGGAGGTTAAATACATATACTTTCATAGGACCCAGGAGTGTTTGAAAAACATTGACGGAGTTTGTTCAAGTGGAACTGGTTCCACAGTATAACTCATACCTGTGGAATCAGAAAGAGGCATGTTCATCTACCTGAAGGTAAGCACTGTAACCAATTGTTTCTTGGGGATTTCTTCAAGGAGAACAACAAGGTAGTCTTTCAAAGTGTATTGGAAGTTATCTGCAAGCCTTTGTCAAAGATACGAGGACTGGTCAACTCTACAATACACAGGCAAGCTATCCCATATATACATGTTATTAGGGACATGACATTCTTCAGAGTGTCCTACAAACCAACGCCTCCTGAATGAAGATGAGAAGTGCGGTAGACAGCAACACCTGAGATCCCTCATCATGGCCAAGCCCATAGCAACGGAATTTGCAGAATACCTAGTCTATAAGGACTGCAATAGCCTTAGGAATGCACCAAAAAGTGGGGTTGCCTCTTTAAAGGCCGGAAAACAAGGGTCCGGAGACTATGGCAGCTTCGTGATATTATTTTGTGATACAAAGCCCATGGCAACATTCTCCAAATGTGCGGAGTTGATACAGATGGGTGCATGGATAGGCACAGAGTGTCCGGCGGCCCTGCTTGTTGAAATGGTTGTGTTGGCCCCACTAGTAGATTTCTCCTGGCGGCAGTGCATGAATGATACCCCAATGTGGAGTAAAAACCCCATGGAGGCTTTAATATGCCAAGCAGTAATGAATTTGATATTGATTGGAAAGCCGGAGTGCATGACAAGTGACATAATGAAGAGTGATCGAAGCATCGTGGATGGCAACCTGATCCGGAATGAATGTGCCTCACAGCCCCGATTGCTCGGTCCCAAGACCTGATCACCGGCGGGTGCCTGATAGACAAATGGAGATGTAATATGAATCATGGAGCATTCAGTACACCGGCCGCATTATGTCCATTTAGCTCATTGAAACATGGCCTCGGAACCTTTAGTAAAATTTCACCTTGTTCCCATCGACCACCATGCCACCACAAGTGTTCAAGAAAGGTGCCCAGTTCCTTGGGGGCCTCAGGATACTAACCACGAAGGTGACCAAGAAGAAAGGGAAGAAAACTCACACCCCGGTAACACAGAACATGTCAGCACCGGCCAACAGCAAGACGGAGGCAGAGGGCGAAGGCTCTACATCCAAGCGAGCTAGGGTTGAGGAGAGCCCACCCCCAATGTTTGAGCCTCCTCCACCGCCGGAGGGAGACCCAGAGACTGTCAAGAAGACAAAGGCCAGATGGGTGAGAGCACATACGTTGTACAGGTCTGCCTATCCAGGGATGAACTGACCATGGTGACATCTGTAGCTGCAATGCGACTTCATGGAGAAGTGGATGGAGTTCCAGGAGTTGTATTTGCATAAGCTTCTTGACATGGAGGCGAACTCTGACATGGCTGGATGCCGGAGTTGTCAGAAGGGAGCGGTGACATGGAGATGTCTCTCCTGCTTTGGGGTTCCGGCGTCTTGTACTGAGTGCATGCGGGCATCTCATCAGCATCAGCCCTTTCACCAGGTGGAGTTCTGGGAGAGCGACCACTGGGAGTCGTCGACAACAGCTCAACTTGGCGTTACTCTGTGTCTAGGACATGGCGGGAACAAGTGTCCTGGTAGGTCAGGATCCACTGAAGGACGCCCAGAAGAAAGTCCTCTGGCTCCGGAGCCGGTTTCTGACACATCGACCAGCAACGAGGATATGTGGGTGGATGTTCCAGACGACACTCCTATGGACATCGAGGACGGCGCTGAACCGGATTCCAACATCAACGACAGTGCAGCAGCATGCTCGTCTCCAGAGACCGGCGTCACAGGCTCATCTGAGCCTGCAGAGGATGTCGACTGTGCTCCAGCCGAGTTCAACCTAGGACGGCCATTCAAGGAGTTTACTGCCAGCAAGCAGCCACCCACCTCCGGCAAACATGGAGGGCATGCTGAGACGATCATTGTGGTCGACAAGTCCGGTGTCTATGAGTTTCCAGTCGTATGGTGCACTTGTACTGACAAGCTACCACACGAACAACTCTTTGATTTGCGACTGTATCCGGCCTCACAAACCAACCCCAAGACCGCCTTCACCTTTGATGTACTGGATGACCTCTTGGTGTGCAACTTTGAAGGCAAAGAGGCCCCACACTCTTATTTCCGGCGCCTCACCAGGATGACCAACGAGGCATTTCCGGATTCAGTCCCGGTATGTAATATGTGTCTTGGGTCTCAGTATCCTCTCATGGCCACCAGGACCGGTACCGAGAACTGATGAGATGCGGCCGACAATGGCTCCGGCTGAAAACGCGCAAAGAGCATGGACACGGGTATGGAGACAGCGAGATGGAAGCAGCAGTGGCATCATTGGCCACCACATGTGTGGCATGCCCCCACCCAGGTATTAACCTGGATGATGACTGGGAGAGCAAAGGGTGAGTCTTAAACCACTGATAGCCCTCCTGTCTTGACATCACCACAGCCCGGAATGGTTGTACTATGGGCGGGCGGTGGTGGATGGCAACTTCAAGCAACAGAGCTACGCGATGAGAAGGCCGGAGAACGATGTTCCACTAACTGACGGCCTGGGGTACACTGTCAACAAAGCGAACTATCAGGCTCACTTGGCCACGGCCAAAGAAACCCCTCACGTAAGTCGAAGAACCATTGTAATGGCTGTCTGTCTCTGATGGTGAGAGCCGGCAGAAATCCACTTGCAATGATCATCGAGCAGTATCCCAAGCCGGTCGGAGACGAAACCACCTGGCCGTCACTGGTCTAGCCGCCCTTGTGTGTGCACGGCATGGCCTGTGGTTTGCAAGCTCGGTGGTCGACTTTCTGCTAGGGGAAAGGTAATGTCACCCTTAGACCTGTTGTATCTTACACTGACCGGCCCCAGACAAGCCTACATTGACTATGCGCTATGCATGGTGCTTCAGCAGCTCCGGAAGCACAAAAAGGTGTATCTGTTCTATGACATTGTGTGCCAATACCTGGTCAAGCTCCGGCAGCGGATCAAAGACTCACCCCACCTCACCATTCCTGAACACCTCAAGATCATTCCGGCGATCGGGTTATTTCATGTGCACGGCCACAAGGATGAATGTGTATCCCGCTACTCTCCGGATCACATTATTGGGGCTGGCCATGCTGCTGGTGAGATCATCGAAAGCAACTGGGGCCGGATGAACCCAAGTGCACAAAGCATCAAGAGGATGTCAGCCTGGGCGAGGGTCGACAGTCTGAATGGTCAGATGGAGTCCTGGAACAAAGGCAAGAACTACAAGTCCGGTATGTCTGCCATTATTGTCTTTAATGCATCCTGACGCTATGTCATAGTTAAAACGGTCAAGGATGGATGGAAGCTTGCTTTGGTTCGGTACACAAAGGCTACCATTGATCTCCGAAAGGTGACGGTTCTTTGTGATCCCGGATTGGTCAGCGAGTGGTTGCAACGACTGGCAACTGCCTATGCCGGACACTCTGACGACGTCACTGCCAACGATGCTGTCTTCAAGGTTGATATCCGCAAGCTCCCTTCCAGGGCCACCACCGGCCATGAAGTGACCCAGGCAAAAGAGGAATTGACTGGGGTAGTGCAATGGATCAACAGAGGAATCGACATCGAACAGCTCCAGTAAGCCCACTTTACCTTGATTGCTATAGGTCTGACTGTTCCGGCCAGGATCGAAATACAGGTCCTGTCCAAGAAGATGGCCACACGATCCCGGCGGGGCGACACCAACACTCGGGAGCGACTGCGCCGGCGCCTTATTCGTATCATCGAAGAGTTCCTTGAGGACGCACCCAAGTACATGGGTAACTTGCTGATTGGCGCTGTGACTGACAAGCCATATGTGGTTGATATTGCCTCTGGTATCATGGACAGCACCGAAGAGGGCGACGAGGATGGTACCGATGGCATCCCTTACGACCCAGACAACGAGGAAGAGACCGATGCTGCGTCGTTGGAGCCAGAGACAAGAACAATCGGTCTTCCATCTGCATTCGGGCGCAGCACTTGCCTTGAACATGGCTTGGATAAAGTTATAGAGGCTGAAATGACACTCCGAACCGGCCAGGCCAATGACGCAGTGGAGAAGATCCGGCACCACATTGGCCATCAGTCTCTTATCTGGCGCAAGGAGGTCAGAGAATCCCGGGGCAGTCAGCACCAGGGCGGATTGGCTCGCAGTAAGCTTGACGTCCAGAGTGCCAAGGTCAATCTGCAGAGGCTCTATTACAACCACGCCCGGAAGGCAATGCTGGAACTCAAAGGCCCCGAGGACGACATCACCAAGTACCAGGTCATGACAAGGCAGGACCTCAAGGCCTCAACAGCAGAGCTCCGGCCAGATGCCACTGGGCTGCGCCATGAGGGCCTATCATGGCTGTGGACTCTGGATGTTGATACAATGTTGGCTAGTCCGGATGGGGACACTCTGTTGAATGAATGTGAGTCTGGTATCTCTCCGGAAAGACTCTGTACTGATGCTTGTCAGTTGCACGGATGCACTGGACAAAGGCCAGGTGCCGGACTGATAGGGCCATGGAGGAGCTGATCCTCCTGCGCCATGAAATGTCATGGATTCCCCGGACATGGCGACACATGGCTGGGGAATGGAAGCGATTGGGTGAAACCGATGCTGGAAAGTCAGCTGGACACCATGCCCATGCCCGGCGCCAACAGGCACTTGCAGAGCGACTGGCGTCCATGTCAGAATCCGTGTTTCAACAACTCCTCAAGGACAAACCGGCCCCAACTGACTTCAACTTGGGATTAGATGACTCTGGTAGATGTACATGGCCTCAAACAACTGTATCATAATCATAGAACGCTAGTGTAGTACCCACTGTAATTCCCATACGCCCATTCCGGTTCCAACCCAGTCATGGCACGCCTGTGTACACCCTCCTTCATATAATAAGCCCAACATACCCGGTCTCCCTGGCAGTGCGGCACTCCATGTCTCAAGAGCTTGCCACAGAATGGCACCATGGTGCCCGGCCGGTAGTCAAGGTCGATCCTGAGCATGGGAAAGGATAGCTGGCCATACCGGTACCGTCCATGGGTGGATAAGATGTCATACCAAGGATATGTACCTCCACCATCTCTATGGAGGACTGTCTCTCGGTTAGAGAGTATAGTGGCGGCATTGAAGACCGAAGCCCACTGTCTGATGTGGCTCCTGGTGTTGATATCATCGCTGAGTGACCGCATACAAGCCTTCCCCTGGATGTATTGCCATGGATGGACGAGCCGGAGGACGCCAGAAGCAAGGGCATGAAGGCCGGAAAGATCTACCACGGTGCTGGCGAGGTCCCCCTGTAGATCCCTCCAGTTAGCAGAGGGTTCGGGATAATGGGTGGGGTCCTAATGAATTGTCAGCAGCGTAGTATAAAGGTCTTATCACACACCTTGTCATGACCGGATTGGTACCAGCCTGGAGACAGGTTGATTGATCCAGGTTGGATTCCGGAAGCCTGGGGTGGGAGGAATAAACTGGTGTGGTTCCGGAATGTGGCCGCATTAGCGGCGCTGATGCCAGCCTTGAGCTGCCTATGCACCGGAAGGAGGGACCCAAACACAAGGGCCTGTAGCCACTCGGGAACCACATCAGGAAGGTACCATAGCAGAATGCGACCAGAGAGGTCACAAAGCTTGAACGGCCGGATGGCAAGGAGGTGGCCGTTGGTCGGATCAACGGTGGTTTCATACCAGGGGTGGTTCATAGGGTCCCATCTCAACTGGAGCCGGCGCCTTTCATACTTCAGTTCGCGATCCAGGTGCATTGCACTGCCACTTGGCGGAGGAAGCGTGTCGAGGATATCACCGTCAAGTAGGACTGTAATATATCAGCTATCATAGTTATAGGCTCCGGTATCCGCACCTGTGCACTTATCCGCCTGACTGATCATGTCTACTG